CTCCCTAGACCTGCCCACGTCACCCACTGGTACCTCCCTACCCCTCCCCACGTCACCCACTGGTACCTCCCTACCCCTCCCCACGTCACCCACTGGTACCTCCCTACCCCTCCCCACGTCACGGGCCATCTTTCTTCCTGGTGTCGAGTTCATCCATGTTTGTGTGCCTGAGCTGGCACACAAGGCTTTTTTTTGCCTCCTCCACTGCCCAGTACCTACAGCAGTGGCCACGGACTCCTGGCCTTGGGGTTAGTTGGATGCGTATGGGAATTGTGTGGACCAGCAGCTGGACCTCCTCCCCCACCCCCACCCCCCCGAAAAGCATTTTATTATTGACTCTTTCTTTCCATTGTGTACAGGCATGTGGTGTAATAGTAGAATTAATCAAAAGCAAGAAAATGGCTGGAAGAGCTGTCTTGTTGGCAGGCCCTCCTGGAACTGGCAAGGTACTCATTTTGTCTCACTTTTTTTAAGCTACCCAAGAGAATGATCCTGATGTCTAAGCCAAATTGAGTTTATGTCTTAACTAGTCTTTGTTTAGCTAAATTGATTATGTGTATGTTTTAAAAACTAATACAATTGAGTGTCTAAAATCCATGCTTCTGAAATTTAAATTGTCCTGGCCTACCCCAGAGAAGAGAGTGAGGCCTCAGAGGGGTCTTGTCATCTCTAGAATTGGCCTTTCACTCTGTCAGGTCTCCTTTGCATTGGAAACTCATTCCTCTTGGCCCAGCTATCATAAAAATCTTCATGGTGACACTTACTTGAAGGTGAAGAAAACAAGTGAGCCGCGTTTTTCCCACGTTCGGTTTCTCCATTGTTGTTTGAGATGAAAAGGAGAAAGAATTAGAGATAGGAGTCTTTTTTTCCCCAGTATTGTTATTATAAAGGTGATGTATGGGGGGCGATTACGTCATATAAGTCAGGTACGAGTATATTTCTTTTTGGACAGTGTTGCCCCTTCCCATCCCTAACCACAAGCTGTAAAATTCATTTTCAACATATTGTTCCAGGAGTAATTGCTGCATTTGTTTGCCTTTTGTTCCTCCATTTCTATGCTTCCCCTCAGACTCCCAAAGACATATAAAGGAACAAACAGGACAAAGAAAGCCAAAAGAGTAAACAACTCTTGCTTCTTTTTTCTGGAGTTTGTTTAGATAAACATTAGTTTGTATGATCAGTGGCACATGGGCATTATTATACCTTGTGTCCGCTCTCTGGCAGAGACAGGATTCCTCTCCTCAGGGTGGGAAAGGTCTTTCCAGGGCAGAACAACTGTGAGCCGTGACAGTACTGAATGGCAGTGTGCCTCTGGAAGGGGTTTCAGGAAGACACAGGAAGGCAAACTTGTTGCCGCTGGGGTTGACCGGGAGGTGGTGCGGACTCAGCTATCTGCCCTCCAGCGTTGGGTGAGGCTTTGGCTCTGGAGAAGGAAAAGGCCTTCTCGGTGGAGCACGGTGGCTTGTCGGGAGCTCCGGGCTGCGCTCGCTCACTTACAGGGGCCCTTGGCAAGGCCAGGCCAGCAGGAGCCAGGCCTGCCTGTGTGAAGGCATAGGCCACTGACGGCCTAAGGCCCATCCTTGGCTGCTCAGAAGCTGAGACGCACCAAGTGACTGAACTTTGAAATTGTAACTGGAGTGGGAGGCGAACCTCATGCTGGTGCTTTATAACGGAGGAAGATGTGCTGTGTTTGTGAAAGAACTTTGTCCCCCGTTGCAGCCTTTGAACGCAGGCCCTCTGCCCTCGGGGCCTGGTTCGGCCGGTGAGGGGTTGCAGCTCTCCACAAGCAACATTAGCTAGCCCAAGGCATGTCCCTCTTTTCCTCTGCTACTTTTCTCCTCTCAAAGTGCATGGTTCCGAAGTCCTTCAAGCCTGTTGCCAGGAAAGACGCGGGGTCCCGTTTATTCTGTTGTCCTGGTTCTGAAAGATAACAGCTCACCTGGTGTAGATACTTCTCCAGTGTGGTTTCTACTGCTTGCTACCCTTGACCTGCACTGTTGCTTGAGAGGTGCCTTAAGAAGAACGGTGCAGCGTGGTGTGACGCGGCGCGGCTCGCTGTGGTGTGTGGTGTGACGCGGCGCGGCTCGCTGCGGTGTGTGGTGTGACACGGCGCGGCTCACTGCGGTGTGTGGTGTGACACGGCGCGGCTCACTGCGGTGTGTGGTGTGACACGGCGTGACTCGCTGCGGTGTGTGGTGTGACGCCGTGTGGCTCGCTGCGGTGTGTGGTGTGACGCGGTGTGGCTTGCTGCGGTGTGCTGCGGTGTGTGGTGTGACGCGGCGCGGCTCGCTGCGGTGTGCTGCGGTGTGTGGTGTGACGCGGCGTGGCTCGCTGCGGTGTGCTGCGGTGTGTGGTGTGACGCGGCGCGGCTCGCTGCGGTGTGCTGCGGTGTGTGGTGTGACGCGGCGCGGCTCGCTGCGGTGTGTGTGTGGTGTGACACGGCATGGCTCGCTGCGGTGTGTGGTGTGACGCGGCGCGGCTCGCTGCGATGTGACGCGGCGCGGTGCGGCTCGCTGCGGTGTGTGGTGTGACGCGGCGCGGCTCGCTGCGGTGTGTGGTGTGACGCGGCGCGGTGCGGCACCGTGTGGCATGGTGTCATGGGGTGTGGTGTATGGTGTGACACAGGGTGGCGTATGGTGTGACGCGGTGTGGTGTGTGACACTGTGGCGTGGTGTGATGTATGGTGTGACACGGTGTGGTGTGGTTTGTGGTGTGGTGTGACACTGGCGTGGTGTGGTGTATGGTGTGACACAGTGTGGTGTGTGACACTGTGGCGTGGTGTGGTGTATGGTGTGTGGTGTGGTGTGGTGTGGTGTGACACTGTGGCGTGTGGTGTATGGTGTGGTGTGGTATATGGTGTGACACTGGCGTGGTGTGGTGTATGGTGTGACACTGTGGCGTGTGACACTGGCGTGGTGTGGTGTGGTGTGACACTGGTGTGGCGTGGTGTGGTGTGACACTGGCGTGGTATGGTATATGGTGTGACACTGGCGTGGTGTGGTGTATGGTGTGACACTGGTGTGGTGTGGCACGGTGTGGCAGGTCTTCAGTATTGGAGGGTGAGGGATGCCTTGCTGTGCTTGAAGTATGAAACAGCAGAGACGTGGGCCTAGCCGTGGGCAGAGGCGGGCCGGGCCGCGCGGGGGGCCTTCGCTCCGGAGCCTGCCTTTTGCACTTAGAAAAGCTGTTCAGAGGTGGCCCTACTGGGCTCAGAGCTCAGGTTTGTCCCCAGGCGAGAGCATCGTGGCTTTGGTAGCTGCTCCGTGCAGGGAAGAGGATGCAGGGCCTCAGAACTGCGTGAGATGGCCCCGTGCTCAACCCAGCAGCAAACGGAGCTTAAACCATGCACGAGACGTCGTGCGCCTCTCAGAACCAGTATACTGACAACTGGTTTGCCACTTTCTGACCTAACCACCATGTTAGCACCTTCGCTTGACAGGCCTGAGACTGGCCTGTGGTGAAGGTTTTTTTTTTGTTCAGTCGTGGGCCTGAACTCTGGGCCTGGGCGCTGTCCCTCAGCTCTTCAGCTCAAGGCTAGCGCTCTACCACTTGAGCCACAGTGCCACTCCGGCTTTTTTCTTTTTTCTTATGTGGTACTGAGGAATGGAACCCAGGGCCTCATGCATGCAAGGCAAGCGCTCTACCACTGAGACACCTTCCCAGCCCTGTGGTGAAGGTTATATTGAAGAATAGCAGCAGAGTTAGGTGGGTAGAGCCAGCCTCCCTCCCACAGGCCAGAGCTTTGTGGGTTACTCTATGTGCCGATGCCTGACCATGAAAGGGCGGTGTGATGTGGTGGTGCACGCCTGTCACCCAGCTGCTCAGAGCGGAGGTGGAGGTGGCGGGACTGTGGTTCAGGCTGGCCCAGGTGAACAGAAGAACCTCTGAACCTAAGTGAAGCTAAAGCAAAAAGGACTGATCTTGTAGAGTGCTTACCTAGCATGCGTGAGGCTCCGAGTTAAACCCCTGTACTGCCAAAAACAGAAAAGAAGGGACCCGCCCTGGGGCGCCTTGATGGTCATCTCACAGCTGACCTTCTTCAGTCTCAGGCCGGCGTTTTCCTTCTGCCTCCCCCTCCCCCCGTCCAGCTCCCTCCTCCCCACCTCCCTCCTCCCCCGGTGTCTTGGAAATTGGCCTTCTGTGTGTTCTTGTTTCAGAGTTGAGGAAAGATGAAAACGGCATTCAAAGGCCATGGCGTTCCCCAGCCTGGGCCAACTTAAAAGCCTTTGCTTTCAGGCTTGATGTTTAACCAGACCTGGATTACATCTGGTTTTGTTCTGCATCTGCCAGATGTCATTCTCTTACCAACCATTCATCTGTAGTTCACAGTAGGGCGTGTTAAGTGACTTCTTAAAACCAATTATAGCTCCAAAGTTTGGCCTAACGTGTCATTCCTCACTAATTAACACAGAATGAATATCCGGCAATCACTCATTCATTACTAATGGTTTGGAGATCATGTCTCCTGTGTTTGTAAGAAACCAACAGGGGCTGGGAAGGTGGCTCAGTGGTAGAGTGCCTGCCTTGCATGCATGAGGTCCTGGGTTCGATTCCTCAATACTACATAAGCAGAAAAAGCCGGAAGTGGCGCTGTGGCTCAAGTGGTAGAGTGCTAGCCTTGAGCTGAAGAGCTGAGGGACAGCGCCCAGGCCCAGAGTTCAG